GTCACAGATGTGACTTTTTGTCTTGAAAGACTCAAGTAGGTAAGATTTTACCAGCTGACTTAAGCTCATTGTAAAAATGAATGTATGTTAACATTGATTTATCTCCAATCAACTGCTCTTTTCATTTTGGAAATATTCCAGGGACAATTTTTCATACTTCAGCATGGTATAATCAAGATTTTTCTGGTTTAGGCATCTCCAGACAATGAGTGGTTGAGGTTATCCAACTGCCGACACAAAGGAACTCATTGACTATTGGTGAAGGAAGCTGGTCCCTTCTGCCAGCTCCACAAATGGGTTGTGTCTCAGCAGGAGGTGCTGGCAGCACCATGGCTCCCCACTGCACCTTGTCAGAACAGAACGCCACCCGTGTCCAGCAACCAGGGGCTCCTTTGCCGGGTAGCGCTGATGGACTGTGTCTTTCCTTTTGCAGGTACCAAAACCAAGGAAGGTGTAGTGCAAAGTGTGACCTCAGGTAAGAGCACAGCCCAGAGACAGATGTGGAAATCCACGATGCGTTGCTGGATCTCTTGATAAGGCCATTGCTCCTGCCAAATGGAAGGTCTTGGGGGGACACAACTGGTCTGCGTGACCTTTCATTTGATGCTTGCCAGCAGCGACAATGGTTCAGGGGCTGGCATTTGCAGTGCGCAGGCGTGGGAGGAAATATTTAACGTCACAACATCAAGAGTGCTGCCCAGCACGCAGGGAGGATTTGCTTGCATCGGATCCAGTCAGGCCAGAACTGTGTCTGTGGGTGACTTCTGTCAGGCAGTCACAGAGTCGGGGACCCTAAGGGATCCTTCTGGGTATCCCAAGCTCCAAGGCAGGGCTTAAAGAGAGATGAATGGATCCTTTCCCTGTAGAATTTCATCAGAGTTTTTTTCTACCCAGCTGTGTTAAATCAAACAGAAGGTACCCAGAGAGTGGTCATATGCAGTCTGCAATGCAAAATACCTTATTTGCACAATCGTCTCTTACAGTGAATTTTTCATTCTTCAGTTGCCCACAACAACTGACAGGCTGCAGTGAGTCAGACAGAACCCTCACGTACATGATCTAAATTCAGATGTGATCTCATTAAAAAAATCCAGAGGAGGACTGTACCAGGACAGACTTCTCTCACCTCGATGAAATCGTTTTCTTGTCCCAGTGAATTTGGCAGCCTTTTGGCAGTGCCTAGCTCATTGACTTTCTGCTTTTGTTGACATCCCAGTTGCTGAGAAAACCAAAGAGCAGGCCAACGTGGTGGGAGAAGCTGTGGTAGCCAGCGTGAACACAGTGGCAAACAAGACTGTAGAAGGAGCAGAGACCATCGTGGCCACTACAGGAGTTGTAAAAAAGGTATGTTTGTTTTTTCAGTGATGTGCAGGATGGAAGAGTTATCTTTGGATTATTCTTAAAATATCTGAAAACATTTACAGTTGATGGTTTTACCTATGCAGTGAGAGGTTTTCAGCAATATCTGCTTTTATATAGTGCTTAATATTATTGTATATTGTTTAATATAATCACAGAGTCATTCAGTTTGGAAGGGAACACTTGAGATCATATAGTCCAACCTCTTAGGGTCAATGAGAGCAGGTTGCCCAAGACCGTGTCCAGATAGGTCTTGGATATCTCCACAAATGGGGACTCCCCGGTATCACTGGGCAACCTTTGCAGGCGTTAGACCACACACAGGAAAAAAATAAGTGTTTTCTAGTGTTCAGCTGGACGCGTTAATTTGTGCCCATTGCCTCTTGTCCCATCAGTGGGAACTGCTGGCAGGAGTCCGTCTCCCCGTTTTCTTATGAACGTAGAAAAGCGTTTTTCCCAGGGACTTGAGTAGAAACACAGCCGGGCTGCAGTGAGCATCTGGCTGGAGTCAGAGCTCTGAGATGTGCGGGGTGTGAAGGGGCAGGAGCTCAGCTCTTGCCCTCACGCCTGGCCAGCCTCTGCCCTGGCAGCTCCGCAGGCAGCGGCCATTCAGGCAAAGCCTGGTCCCAGCAGAGCCTGACCCTCCTGCTCCGCTTTGTGCCGATTTTGACAACAACCATGCGCTTGTTGATAAAGGGCGCGTGACCCAACATGCTCACGGATTAAGCCAAATTCAGACAGGGTGTCTTCTGTACTCCACGCTAACTTGGCAAACTGGGTAGCTTCAAACGAGGGGATTAAGGGGCATGTGAAGGAGCAGAACAGCTCCCTAGATGAAGGCAGCATTGATCATTGGAGAAGACGCTTTCACGGGGTGGTAACAAACAGCCACCATTTGTACAGTGCAGCGCTAATGTTTGGCAGCTCTGTGGTAATCCCAGCTGCATTTCCCCTCTTCAGAGGGCTGTGGTCAGTGGTGTTGATAGCGACACGAGCTACATGAGTCATGGCAAACCCAAACGCAGAATCAAAGCAAAGCGAGGCTAGCCAAAATTGTTTTAATTGTTCAGACAGTTGGCTGATGAATTTCCTGACCTGTACGTAAACACATTGTGATGTGAAACAAAACTTCTACACACCATGTAAATCCTGAGAGAATAGCCTAACAAAAGAGGAGAACAGCAGCTACGAGTGACGCAAAATGTCCTCCTGAAAGCATGTGAAAAGGGCAGATACAGAAGTTCTGCTAAGCCCTTGGGATAAGACTAATCTCTATTCCCACAGGGAACAGCAGTTAGGCTGAAGGAGTGCAAACAGTGATTCCTGATTCGGTGGGGCCAGACCCCCTCCTGCCATTTGACTGACCGGGAGCGGGGTGGTTGACCCAGGAGAACTAGTAGCTTGCTGATGGTAGGAATCCATCCTGCGGACACTGAACCATCTCCCCTTCCAGCAAGGACTGAGCAGCAGCACTCCTCCTCCCCTTTTGTCCTAAGTGAGAGCCCCCCTCGAAGACTGGCGAGCCACAAATTACAGGTGTTAACCTCAGAGCTCAAACGAATGACGTCACCTGTTGTCATCTTTGTGCGGGTAGTGCCTTAGAAAAGCAAGGCAAAGGAAGTCACAGGAGAAAAGTTCAGGAAAAATGTTTCTGTGAAAGAAAGGGGTCGTACTCGACTGTTTTAGTACAGTTTAGATTAGGAGTGCAAACCGTGTAGCCATCCTCACTCACCACGGCTCAGTTGCATCTGCTAAACACTTTTTGGATAGCAATGACATGGAAGGTTGAGCTCCATAGGCACACAGAGTGCATCCCAACAGCTAATGGTTAATTGCCGTGGAGCCAGAGCTGCTCCCATGGGAGGGCCCTGAAAGGAGCAGAGCGGAGGGATTGTGCTGGGCTCTTGGCACCACCTGTTTTCTCTCCAGATCTGCTCCTATTGTGCTGCACAGTTTGCTAATGGAAACACAGCCAGAGGCTGCCAAGGGCAGCACCAGGCACTGTAACGTGTGTGAGACCCACTGGAGATCGGCTAAGAGGCGTGACAGGGTATAGCAGTGAGATACTGGAATTACACACAGGCATTTCGTCTCCCAGTGTTGAGAGCGCTGTTACACCCAGTCCTGAGACTTGTTCATGCTCCATTCTGTCCTCCTTTGTTGTTAACCTCCTATTTCTGTTTTCAGCTGTCGCCAGGGCTGTTCCCTGCCGGCTGTGCAGAGGGGTTGTTCAAAGCAGCAGGGGACTGAGCAGTGCTATGGGATGACTGGAATCTGGGGAGTCGAGTGGCCTAGGAGGCATGTTCCCCAGCTCAGCGTTCCCAGTATTAATATCAATTACGGAGAGCTCGTTGACATTTAATCTGTGTGTTTGACAGCTGGGATCGGTGGCAGGCACATACTAGCAAGGAGTGGGGAACTCTAAGGATTCTGGATTACGTTTTGCTTGGGGCAGCAGCCATGGGGTGTATCGGGTGGCGACTTTGGCCACAGGGAAAAATTCAGCCCTTCAGGGAACAGGGCAGGTACTGAAATGTGGACAGACATGGGGCGGTTGGCAGCCCACCGCCCCTTGCTGGCCTCGGTG